AACAGCCAATGTGAGCAAGTAAGAGAAATAATCATGCCTGACAGAGGACAGCATCACATATAGTGTTTCATGTACCATGTTCGGGGAGGATTACACCTGGCTGGATGAGGTGGTAGCAGAGAGAAAATTTCCAAGTCCATCATCGGACAGTGGGATTATGGAGGGCCGGCATTATGGAAGTGATATTGATGGTTATCGTACTATTTCCGTGCTGTTGGCATTTGGCGTGTTCTACAACTTTCCAGCATGCGATTAAAGTTGCAAAGCTATCAACAAGCAAATGCCATTTACTCTCTTTCAGATGGGGGTTCGCGTTGCAATGATATCTTTCTAATGCGGTCTCTCTGAAAAGCCCTGCTAAAAACACCCAGGATATTTGCGTATAATTACAGTAGATTCCATATCTGATGAAAGATTAAGGATCGGGGAATTTAACACACATTTGAGGTTGTTTGTTTAGTTCATTGGGTTGACTTGAGGCAAGAAATGCTGTTTACTATAACTGAATTCCGTACAGCTCAGTATATTAGGAGAAAATAGAGGTGGAAATGGGAGAAATCCAGCGTTTGTCGATATCCTTTTACTTGTACTTGTTTGGCTGTGATCATGCCTGATTTCGCCGGCCTGAATGATGTCACGAACGGTACCTCTCCATGCGTGGCGATTGCCGGCAGCGGATATGGAAAGCTCCACCCAGTCTCTTCTCCAGCGACGGAGACCGAAGAAAGAAGGTCCAAGGTGTGCTTCCATGTCTTGACGGACGGTGTCGAGCCAAGTCTTCCGTTGCCCTCCCTGGTTCCATGTCTTGACGAACGGTGTCGAGTCAAGTCTGCAGTTGCCCTCCTCTTCGACGTTTCCAAGTGGGCTATGGCGCCGGGTCGAGGGCAGCATAGCTAAGCTCGTAGGGCGGACGACGGAGAACGTTTCCAAACCACCTCAGTCTCCCTTCTTGAATGGCCTAAGATATCCTCGTGATACAATCGCAGCGGAGGCGGATTGTCTTATTTGAGATGAAGTCGCTATACTTAACGTGCAGGTTTGTACTCAGGCACCGGTGGTCGAAGACCTCCAGTTTTCGCTCATCTTCAGCGCACACAGCCCAACATTCACATCCATAGAGGAGGACTGACCGGATGGATGTACGATATACACGAATCTTCGTGGCGATGAAGATGTCACGTCGGATCCATAGGCTCTTTCGAAGGATTGAGAAAACCCAGCAAGCACCATGGATACGGGAGATAATGTCGTCCTTGCTCTGCCCATTCGGTAGCAGTCTAGACCCGAGGTATTTAAAGCTGTCTACTTCTTCAAGTTGATGGCCATTAATCT